AAACTCAGGATCTTGCAGGTTGATCCAGCTAGGAAAATATGGTAATAGATTCAGAGGTTTCTTTGATGCAATCCTGTTTTATCTACTGTCACACACTTAATAGCTTGTGTAGGCTTGTGAGTTACTGGTAACTCAACCATGGGATCTTGAATGTGTATGTATCACTGTGTTAAAGCCAAGATGAAGTGCTGGTGGGGATCTGTTACAGATGACCAAATGAAACCAGAAAACCAAATGCATTACTTCTTAATGAAGAGCCTATAATGTGTGGAAAGAAAATGCTGGTAGGGGTTTTCAATTTGGGACACGTATGTTGGAGGTCTCATGCAGCCAGTTATAAATCATTAGCTTCTAAAAGTTGTTATATAACACAAGTATTATTGCACACACCATGAGGTAACTATTTTGTACCTCTTTATGATGGATAAAGATGAATAAAGCATCGGACTGGACAACTATGGTTGTTCAGTGACCATGACGTGATTACACTGAATATGGGCAAAGAGAAGACAGTTCCGACCAATAGTATATACACTTGGTGCTTCAAAAGGATATTTCCCAAAATTGAAGAAAATTATGAGCTAAACTGATTGGGGAAAAAACACACAGAAAAAGCAACATATGGAAAATAGGGGAAATAGATAGTCAACAAATTAGAAGTTATGAAGTGTAGAAAATTCATAAGGGAATCTAAAGATATGGAAAAATCCATGACTAGGGGCTGGTCTACACGAGGGGGGGGGAGTCGACGGGGAGCGCGTTCGGGGATTGATTTATCGCATCTAGACGAGGCGCGATAAATCAATCCCCGATAGATCGATTACTACCCGCCAATCCGGCGGGTAGTGAAGACGTACCCTAGCACAGCTAAGGACAATCAGACGTAGTTTTAACATCTATTAAGAACAAAAGAAATCCTAGCAAGAATATAAACACATTGGTAAATTAAGGTGGTGGCATTAATGATGCAGGAAAGCAAGAGTGTTCAACAAATATCAATTCTGTATCTGGAAAGAAGGATGATGTATTTATCAAGCTGTCTGGAGTGTCTCACGACCCTGAGTGCCAACCTCAGGGCAGACTGTCAAGAAACAGGACATGAACCCCAAACTGGTTGTGTGTTCTATAATTAAATTTCACCAAGTAACAAGTGTGAACTCCTAAAGCACTATAACAGCTTTAAATTGGAGTCACAAACTGTACCCTTGGGCACTCTAGTTTATCTTGCCACTCAGGCAAGCCTGCCTTTGAGAGAGATGGTCCCTTACACCGGGGGCTGGACTCGACAGGGGGCAGGACTCGATGATCTTTCAGGGTCCCTTCCAGCTCTATGAGATGGGTATATCTCCATGTATTATTATTTTTCTCTCTAAGCACCCCCCCCCCCCCCATATGCTATAAAAACCTGTGCCACAACAACTGTTTTTCTTCATATAAAAGCCAGGGCCAGAGTTAGGGGGTAGCAAGCATGGCAACTGCCTGTGGCCCCACGAAGCACCCAGGACCCCTGCTGGTGCTGGGGGAGGGAGGGTTGGTGGGGCTGGCAAGGGCTTCCTACTGGCTCTGCATCCGTGCAGCTCCTAGGCAGCAGAGGCAGGGGTTCCGCAGCTCCCACCACAAGCCGCAGCTCCTATTGGCCAGGAACCGCAGCCAATGGGAGCTGCGGGGGCGAGGCCTGCGGGCACAGGCAGCACAGAGACCCCCATCCCTCCACCACCTAGAAGCTGCAGGGGGGCCATGCCAGTGGGGCAGCCCCTGAGCCAGCACCAGCCGCTGCAGAAGTCACAGTGGTCACAGAATCCATGACTTCTGTGACAGACTCGCAGCCTTACTTATAACTAATATATATATATTTTATTTGTTATGTGTGTGTTAACAATACTAACACAGGTGAGCCAGACTGGTTTCCAGCTAAGCATTTGTCAATGTTCAGTGAGGGCCACCGGTCTTGGCATGGACTGGCAAGCACCACAGTATTCATATCGCATTAGGTCTGCCAGCACCACAGTATTCATATCGCATTAGGATGACAAAGTATTTCAGAACCCATTAACACACCCAGATAAAACTTGCACCAAGATTTCTGGCCTACCAATATTAATTTGACACAAGCACAAATAGATATCAACTAGCCATCAACAAGTGTAGGCTTGAAATTAGATGAAGGTTTCTAACCATCAGAAGAGTGAATTTCTGGAATAACCTTCCTATGGGAGCAGTGGAGGCAAAAAACCTAACTTGTATCAAGCTCAGTCTTGAAACGTTTATGGAGTAGATAGTATGATGAGATGGGCCTCTTACCTTTGTAGGCAATCTCCAACTGCTAATAGCAAAAATCCCCAATGGTCAGAGATGGGGCGGGCTTTGAGTTACTACAGAGAATTCTTTTACAGGAGCCTGGCTAGTGGATCTTGCCAACACACTCAGGGTTCAACTGATCACCATATTTGGAGTCAAAGGAATTTTCCCGCAAGTCAGATTGGCATAGACCTTGGGGAGTTTACCTTCCTCTGCAGCAGGAGACATGGGTCACTTGCTCATTTAAACTAGAGTAAATGGTGAATTCTCTGTAACTTGAAGTCTTTAAATCACGGTTTGAGGACTTCAATAACTCAGCCAGAAGCTACAGATCTATTACAGGAAGGGGTGGGTGAGGCAACGTGCAGGAAGTCAGACTAGGTGATCACGATGGTCCTTTCTGGCCTTGAAGTCTACGAGGGTCTTATATACACAAGTCCTTAGGGATGCTTAAATGAAGGCAAACCAATGATCAGCACCAATAGCGACAATTGCTCAATAAAATATAAACAGCAACTTAACTTACAGTTTCAGAGTTAAAGTAAACAAGTGCAATGGATTATGTCAACTATGCAAATGTGGTGACTAAGGCTACCATTTTGGTGCAGAGGTCAAAGTGTTCACGGTAATTATGAATTTGAATAAAGTCCGTGACCACCACACTGGCAGCTCCTTTCCCCTTCGGGTGCTGCAGCCTCACCCAGGTGGTTGCAGCACAACTCAGGTTTGGCGCACCCACCTCTGCGTAGAAAGAGGGGCAGAGGGCCAAGTTTGATTGGCATTGCAACCCAGTGGACTAGGTCATAACACCAATCAAATCTAGTCCTCTGCCTCCATCTACGGAAGAGCAGACTTACCAAACCTGACTGGTGTTGCAGCCACAGGAACCAAGTCAGAACACCCAGAGCAAGGAGCCAGCCCCAGCCCCAAAAGACAAGAGCCCGTGCTATGGAATGAGCTCGCTACACAACTCCCTCCCCCACATGCACACAGCCCTCCCCCCCTTTCCATGGCACATCCTTATTTTCCCCACATCTCTTCCATGACATTTATTGAAATTTTCCATGAAAAAGGTCAGACCTTTAATGGTGACCCACACCTCTTACTTATTACATATCCAGTTAAGTTTCATCACAGAAAAATTCAAAAGTTTGATTCTCAACTACTGTATCTCCAGCAATTTCTGTGCATGGTAGAAAGTTGAAAGACCAGATGCATTTTGGCTGTTACACCAAAGTACCGAATTGCACCTTTTCATATATCATTCACTCACCATTCAGAAACTGAAATGCCTCCATCCAATACTACTAGTATGACTTTTATAACAATTTAGTCACATTATGAAGAAGTTTTTGGAAAAAGGTAACCTTACGCTATTTTTTTAAGTTGTTCTTGAAATAAAGAACTCAAAATCACACATAAAGAGCCAACTTCAGCCTCATGGCAAAAAGATTCAATAGCAAAACTATTAACTCCAGAAGCCCATAGTTTAGTGCCCAGTATATGAAAACAAGTTTCTTCTTTAGTATCTACATCAGGTAGAAACTTCAAATAACTCAGAACTGGACAGTGAAAAACCCATAGGAAGAAACAAAACTGAGGCTTGTACACACTACCACTTATGTCCATAGAACTTATGTCACACAAGGATGTGACTAAGCCACCTCCCTGAGCCACACAAGTTACACTGACCTACACGTTGGCGTGAACAGCGCTATGACAGCAGGAGAAGAGGCGGTTTCATTACACTGACGGGGGAGCTCTCTCTGGTCTGCACAGAGTGTCTTCAGCAGACAACCTGTGGAACTCTTTGCCAGAGGATGTTGTGAAGGCCAAGACTATAACAGTGATAGCGTCCCTAGCCTCCATTTGCCAGAAGCTGGGAATGGGAGACAGGGAATACCTGTTCTGTTCATTCCCTCTGGTGCACCTGGCATTGGCCACTGTCAGAAGACAGTATACCTTTGGTCTGACCCTGTAGGGCCGTTCTTATGTTATTACATGATGCATCGGTGCAGCTTTGCCCCTGTAGCATTTCTAGTGTAGATTAGTCCTAAGTTTTTACACACACATTACACTTTCCACCAGATTTAAATGTTTTACCAGCATTAATCAAGGATCTGCTCCCTTTGCCAATTTAATAAACACACTCAGATTCCTCATTGAATAACTACATAAGTATTCCACTTACTAGCTGAACAGAAATAAGAAAGAAAAAATTAGGCCCTTTCATTTTCTGCAGCCCATAGCCCCAGGAGGCAGGAAAACCCCTTACGGATCCTTCATTCATTCCAAGCTTCCTCCCGAACGATGGGGCTCCTCTCGTCCCTGCCCAGCATTTTCCCAACCTGAGGTTAACCCGACGCCCCCTCCCGGCCAGGGCCACCCTAATTAACTCCTTCGCCAATTCACGTGAACACATGAATCCTCCAAACACCCCGGCGTTCACCCACTGCCCCTCGCCTGCAGCCTCCATCTCCAGACGGGCGACAAACAGGGATACCCGGTACACCCCGCCACCCGTCTCTAGCCGGCTCCTCAATGCCCAGGGCCGGGGCAACTGCCCCAGCACCCCCGCCCCAGCGGGCCCCCGCCATGGGCGCCGCTCCCCAGCGCCACCGTTCTTCGCCAACACCCCCAGCCCTCTCCTGCCTGCCGAGAGGCGCCCTTCCCCAGCTCCCTCGGGGCCCCGCCCCACTCACCGTTTCTTAGGGATGGTGGACGCGACCGGCCGCTCAGCTGCGCCCCCCGCCCTGCACTGGCTCGGGGAGAGGAACCGCTCAGCCTCGGGCGCCCGGCTCGCCGGCGAGCCCTGCAGGTGGCCAGAGAGGATGCGCAGCCTCCGCTGGGCAGCAGGCTGGGACCCCGGGCCGCCTCCCGCTGCTGCCTCGGCTGCCGCCGCCATCGCACTTCCGCGTTGCGCCGCCGGGTGAGAGGTCACACGTGGGGGGGGTGAAGAGAGGGAGCGCTGCAAGCGCTTATAGGTGTTCCCGGCATGCACCGCTTTCCCAGCCCACCCACCGGCGGAGACAAGGCCACGCCCCTCGCACCTGTGCGGCGGCAGGGCCCGGCCCCCTCCCCTGCATCCCGTCCCCATCCAGGGCGACGTTCTCTCGCTGCCGAGCCCGCTCCTTGCCGTGTGGAGCCCGGGGCCCAGCAGGAGAGCTGAGCCTCCGCCCTCCCCCCCTTCGCGCCTGGCAAAGGAAACCTGCCCATCAAATCCCTCCATCCCTGCGCCAAGGCACTCAGCTGCAGGGGTGGAACCGCCTGGTTCTGAACCCTCCGCCCTGTCAGCAGAGGCTGCACCCCTCTCGGTCCAGCCCGCTCTCACCCTGTTCACAAACTGTGGGATGGGTGGTGTTTGTCCAGCAGCCCCAGCGTCTGCACTCCTGTGAGGAGAGGATAACTTTAGCTGTCACCTTGGAAAAGCCCCTGGTACAGGTCTGCCCCTGTGGCTCGGAAGAGGGGTTTGAAAACATGAGCTGACTGTACCCTACAGGCAGAGGGGCTGGAACTGGGGGTGCGGCTTGAAGTGGTTTCCATCATATACAAGATTTATGGTTTGTTTCAATGGCTCTCAGCAACCCCCACTCTACAAATCGTTCTAGCACTCCTGCCTACAGGCTCGAAAACTGAAAGGTAAATCAAAAGCCCTGAAATGGATTATGGTTTTCAAATCTCAGATTTTATAAACCAATCGCATGAATTTAGGGAGCCCGACTCAAGAGTTTGAACACTGCCATCCTACCATTCTGAATACTACTGCTAGGGATTAGAGCGGGGGTGGGCAAACTTTTTGACCCAAGGGCCACATCTGGGTATGGAAATTGTATGGCAGGACATGAATGCTCACAAAATTGGGGTTGGAGTCAGGAGGGGGTGAGGGCTCAGGCTGGGGGTGTGGGCTTTGGGGTGGGGCCAGAAATGAGGAGTTCAGGTTGCAGGAGGGGGCTCCAGGCTGGGGCAGGAGGTTGGGGTATGGGGGGGTGAGGGCTCTGGGGTGGGGCTGGGGATGAGGGGTTTGGGGTGCAGGAGGGTGCTATAGGCTGGGATTGGAGGGCGGGAGGGGGATCAGGGCTGGGGCATGGGAGGGGCTTAGGGGTGCAGGCTCTGGGTGGTGCTTACCTCAAGCAGCTCACAGAAGCAATGGCATGCCCCCCTCCAGCTCCTACATGGATGCGGCCAGGTGTCTCTGCGCACTGCCTTGTCTGCAGGTGCCACCCCTGCAGCTCTCATTGGTCGCAGTTCCTGGCCAATGGGAGCTGCAAGGATAGCACTTGGGGCGGGGGCAGCATACAGAGCCCCCTGGCTGCCCCTAAACGTAGGAGCCGGAGGAGGGACATGCTGCTGCTTCCAGGAGCTGCGGCATGCATGTGCAGAGCAGCCCCCGACCCCACTCCCCAGCTGGAGCGCAGGAGCGGGACAAGCCTCAGACCCTGCTCCGCAGCAGGAGCTCAAGGGCCAGATTAAAGTGGCTGGTGGGCCGGATGTGGCCAGGGGGCCATAGTTTGCCCACCACTGGATTAGAGCCTCCTAAACCATCTCAGCACCACCTGATGTTTTTATCCTTTGTCTCATTCTTCCTTACATTCAGTGCAGGCACCTGGGTTCCTCCTGCTGAATACATTCAGGTACCTGCAACATAATCCACAATTTAGTGGACCTTAGAGGATTGAGAGAAATTCAGTATAAATTATTGCTCTTAGCTGTTCCTAAACATAGCAATACATGTATATAACTCTATTTTCTTGTTTGGCCCTGGTCTTGCCTATTCCTAATTAATTCTAATCTGTATAGTTATGATAGTCTGAATACATAATAATGACTATTACTAGTACTTTAACATCTATTAGTGCTACTTATTTTTACACAATAATAGTTCCTTGTAGAGGAGAATAAGAAGTTACCCAGTACCAATATATTCAAAACAACTAGCTTCTGAACCTAGCCTAGTTTCAGGGCTTTGGGGCCAGTTAGAGAAGAAGAATAGGTCACAGCAGCTTTGGGTTGGTGGTGTCAAGTAGAGGAGCAGGTATATATAACGGGGAATCATAACTGGGTTACATGTGTGTAACATAGAAACAAAATAGCACCATCAAAAATAATCTAATATTCAAAGAGGGCCTAAATCATCTTAGTCATGTTACCAGAACATTTTAAACTTTTACTGCCAGCACTCATATTAAGTGAATGTAGAGCCTGGCCAATTTTTGGAGACTAGATACCTCTGCTAACTTAATCCCTCCCAGTGCATGGAGTAACTGCTATATCTCATTCATCCTTACTGCACAGCCACTGCACCCCCTCCTAAGAGACGAGAGCATCCTTCTAAACTCACCCAGCCTGTATAAGAACAAAAGTTTAAAGGACATATAACAATTCAGAAATATTTAGTTTAAATTACAACTATTAATTGGTAATACACATTGGCATATTTGTGTGGCTGAGTTATTTTGTCTGGTTTTGTGCTCTTGTGGGAAGGCAAGAGAGAACCTGCTCTTCACATTAAGTATTAATCCCTGATATTAAATTTTCTATAGTGAATCCTCTCCTGACTTATCATCTTCTTTTAGGATATGTAATCAAGGAGTGGGAGTGAAGATACTTCCTTAAAGGAGTTATAATGCTAGGGATTTAAAGCAGAAAAAATATTCCTCAAACAGGAAAATCCTATAGATGAAATTTGCCTTTAACTATTAAAAAGGGAACAGAAAATATTAGGAATACATAATTGCTGGTTTACAGTCAGTAGAAATAAATATCTTCAGCATTAGAGATTGCTGGGAGCTTGGCTACAGCAGAAAAAAAACCCTATTGCTGACAATGGAAGTCAGCAATGAGTGCCACTGAACGGATGCTGGATACAGTTTAGCTGTAAGTATAGATAAAGATAAACCATGTTCAATGCCATTTCAGCAACACCTGTTGATACCCATGTGCAACTTGAATAATGTAGACAAGCCAATGGAAAAAAGTTAGCCCTTAACCCAACTTCCTTCAAATCCCTTCCAAGTTCCCCTCAGATAAAGCCAATAACACCTGGAATCCCAACTCTGGTGAAGAATTAATTCACTAAAATCTTTGCTACTGTCACAATCACTTGGTTTCTTATTGGGTAAGCTTCAGACCATTATGTGAAACAGTCCATAGCTACCAGCAAATATTGATTGCCAGTCTCTGTCTCAGGCAGAGGCCTAAGCAAATCAACAGTAATGCACTCCTTTGGTGCCTCAATGAGATGCTGCCACATACGGGCTCTCCCAGTCTTAGAGGGACCCTTCTTTGCCACACAAGCATCATATTTCCTGCACTAATTTTCTATATCCTGCCTGTATTTCACCCATCAGAAGTTCTCTTTGCTTCTCCTTAAATGGTTCAATTTTGGATCCCCTATTTATTCCTTAGCCTTTTTAGCATGTCTGGTTTAACAACTTGTGTTTGAGCCAGTGTCCACTATTCCCACAAATTTCACAGATCCTATTACATATTCAGTTGCCAAATTCTCATTACTGTTGTTTTATGGCCCAGATCTAAAACAACTATAGGGCTGATTCTTGCACTTCCACACTTTGTCCCTTCAGCTTAGATTCCCCTCACTTCCCAAACTGGGAGAGGGGCTTTCACTAGGGAATTGTGATACTCTGTCCTGGCCAGCCTTATATTTATAATAATTCTCCTTTCTGTTCTCAATTTTTTTTTCCAGCAGTACCATTTAACTGAATTGCTTCCCTTAATTTTTGAATTATTGCTGATTTCCCTTGTTTTACAAACTGAATTCATCACTTTTTCTAATTGTTCAAAAATGTCATAAACCAGATTGGAATCCCCTTTTCTATCATACATCTCGATACACATCTGTACTTGTAGGATTCATGCCAATCAATTTCCATCTTCCTCACTAGTGGCTTCTTCCTCTTCTGCTACACTGCTGCATGGAAAGATTTAAGTTCTGTGGCAGATTCCATAGCTTCCCATAGTATCTTTGGTCTCCCTCACTGATCTTGATTTGAAAGCACAAGTCTGGCTGAGTGTTTACAAATTGGTTCATTGCCAATATATCCTGCCCTCATTGGTATCTAGATATGCCAGTTACACAAGTGTCTGCAGGTCCTCTGCCAATTCAGATGAAGTCTCTTCTTTCCCTGTCCTTCTAGCCATTAGCTAGAGCCTTGGCCAGCTCAAATTGATTGCTGGTCCCACACATGTCAAGAGCTTCTACCAAGTCTGGAAAACTCTCTCTCTTTTCTGGGGGTAAATATCAGAGCTGGACCATTGATGTTGGCTTCTAATCCATCCCCCCTTCCTCTTCCCAGACATTCATTTAGGTTTTGATGTTGAACTGAGCCAGATAAGCCTCCCTGGGAATTTTTCCCTGAAAGATAGTGGGCTTTTATATCACTTGAACTGGGACAATCCAACTCTCCCCTTTGGGCCTCTGTGGGTTACAAATTGAGAAGAGAAGTACCAGCTCATAATTTCTCTCCTTGAAAACTAGATCCCACCTCTTGCACCAGTATTGACTCTTTTGGACCTGAGTGGCTAGCCAAAATTCACGATCCAGTTGGTTGTTTCAGTTAGGAGGAGAAATAGATGATGGAGACAGGTAGTTCTTTGATGCAATCCTGTTTATTTACAAAGACTGTACAAAGTCCTGTTTCCTCGTGCACAAGAGGAGTCAAACAACAGGATATTTTCTTTGCTCACAGTTCCTAGCCTCTGTCAGGCAGCACTCAGCTGGACAGGAACACAAATCTTCCCAGGATATTAAATCTGCTTACTGAGAATGAAAACAAAATAAGTACCATTATTCCCCTTAGAATTGAAGAAGGCAGAGCATCAAGCTTGAGGGGGAAGGGAAAAGATACAAGCTTGTCAGGAATCTTAGCAAACATACGCTTTCAAGAATTTCTCAAGTCTGCTCTTCTCAGAAATAGC